CTAGACATCCTGTCCCTGACCCTACTACCTAAAATTAACCATCAACTCTGATCCCTAAAATTAACCATTTTTAGAAAGTGTAGGAAATTAACATCAACTACGTGTCCCACACCCTAAAATTACCTAATATTCGCCCTAGACATCCTATCCCTGACAACACTACCTAAAATTAATCATGAATCCTGACCCCCAATATTAACCACGGACCCCAACTCAAAGACCCCTATATTTTGCATCCTGATGAGTCAAAACGGATGCCAAGGAAACCTGGAAATGCCTGGTGTGTCAACTGACGCAAAGGGGTTACCCGATGTGTCAAAATAAGACGCAGAGGGAACCTTGGAAAAATGTCAGTATGTGTAAATGGTGTAGATCTACGGGGTTCTGCATTATTTATTTCACGTTCAGTCAGTTGTACACATAGTACTTTTCAGTGTTTACAAGAGGACATGTTAAAACACTGTTCTATGCAGGAAGTACCACGTAGAGCTCAGTTATTGTTTGTTAGCGGTGCTCAGCTGTAGCAATGAGACGAGGAACGAGATGTTTTGTGTTTAGTTGAAGGTAAACAAGAAACATTGACGTTAACCCTTTGAGGAACATCTTAATGCTCATGTGGCCCTCAGTGGAAATGAGTTTGACACTCGTGCTTTAAGATATCTTTAAAAAAGTATGAACATAGATTGTTACAAGAGTCAAATAATCCCTTTCCTGAACAACACCCACTCAGAGAGGTATAAAGTTGATGTTACGGTTTAGTGAATTATAAGTAGAAGTAAAACTGCAAAACTAGGGACATCATGTAATTCTCAGGATGACCTGCAGAGGAGCCACAGCGCGTGTGTGTACAATGAAGGAAGGAGTGAGTGTGACGAGCAGAACATGCATAAGAAACAGAAACATGCAAAGCTGCAGCTCACCAGAGAGTTACGGAGCACAGGCTGGCCTGATTCACATAAAGAGACAATTAAAGTCTAATCTCCAAGGAGGAGCAACACAGCCGAGAATCGCTGCAGGCCTAATCCTGTCTGCAATTTATGTTTACGCTGCTGCTGTGATATTGCTCGATACCGACGATATGATAAGAGAAATTTCCTCAAAAAAAAAAAAAAAAAAGATTATGTTTACCCGTAAGCTGTAAAAGCACAACACCAAGATTCTCACTCTATATAAAGGAAGCAGCACCAGAGCAAACTGCAAACGTTACACAAAGTAACAGCTACACTCATTTTTTGAGTTGCAAGTTGAAAATTATAAACACAAACACACACCCTGACCAAGCTCATGGGATTCCACACATTCTGAGCAGAGGCCTGGGCATGCCAGCTGCTGGAATGTGACACACACACACATGCATACACACATGTAATCGCATATGTACTTAGATGAATAAATCAAATATGATTTGTACTGAATACCTCAGTTCTGAGAGGATTATAAGGCCCTATAATTAAAATCCTAGAATTGAGATGACAAATGCATCAGTTAGTTGAGATATTTAGTGTCAGTGAGAAAGAAATTCAGTAAAACAGCTAAATCTGGTTACGGCTTTGGTGACATTTGGGGGCAATTTTCAGACAAAAATCCTACCTTTGGGGACAACTGGTGCATTTGGGGACAAAATTGGAGTCCCCATTTGGTTTAAATGCCATTGGTGGGTTGGGGTTGGCTTTAGGACCAAAGTGTGAATTGAGTTTAGGTTAGTTTAGGGTCAGGTAGGTACCTGTGAGGTTAGCCTTAGGGTTTGTGGTYAGGGTTAGGCTGTAGAAATGTAATGGAAGTCAATGGAATGTCCCCAATTGGAAAAATGTGCAAACTTGTGTGAGTTCAGCAGTTTTCCTTAAAATATGTGCCAAGCAAATTTAAAAATTTGCTTCGGAAATTTCTGCAGAGGTTCACCCAAGCAACTAGAAATCATATAATTTAAGGCTAARCATGACGTTTACTGCAAAACTATATCCAAACAGTCATTTGGGATAACAACTTTTTCAAAAAGAAAATGAGATTAGAGGGAGCGAGCATTCTGAAATTAGACTGTGAATAAATTTATGTTCATAACAAAAAAAAGGTTGTCCAGTGAATAAATATTATCTCATTATTTACTGTATAAAAACATACCCAGATTAAACGAAAGACATTTGTACACAACTGCACATGTTCTTGAGAATAATGAACGTTTTAAAAAGTGTTTGGTATTTCTGAAGTGTTTACAAAATAGGGGGAAAAGGGTTAACAAAAAACATGACTCTGACTTGTGGATTATGTGAACTGTTCCATAAAAGTAAACTGATTAAATCCGTGTTAATCTCTGTTTGTATAAATTGAAGCACATTAACAATTAGATAGCTAAACTTACATTTTTAGCCAAATGCACAAGTTCTTGTGGCACATATTCAGGAGAGCATGCTGTCGAATGAGCGTAACTTGCTGCATGTGGTTAGTTTATATTAGTTGCTATAATAACACTGAGTTTGTGGTTTTGCATATATTTTGTTTGCTTACAAACCACAGGTTTAATTCATTCAGGCTGCTGTTACAGCCATCAATCAGTGTCTTCAGTAAACAATGTCTTACATTTATCTTTGACGAGATTGAAACATTTTTTGTGACAAGCTTAACCCAACTTCATTAGTATTTGCAATACCTTCTCTCAACCAGCTAATGATACAATTTATATTTTCAATTTTTAAGGCCCACAAAAACACATTACCTTTAAACATCCAAGTAAATTTTGTTAAGAGAAAGAGTTGTTATAAACTGAAAGGGACAGAGATATTTGTAAAACCCAAATTCAGAACTAGTTTGAAGGAGCAGTGTACTTTAATTCAAGGAATAAAACTATGAGATAATTTGGGGAGTGATGTAACAAATGCAGGATCATTGTGTACATTTAAGAAAATGATCAAAGTTGGATTGTTAAAGAAATATGAAACAGTATAAGGTGTATCTATGTAAATTGTTGTTCTGGAGCGATTAGATGTTCTTGTCTTTTGTTTTGTTAATAACATACTTTTTGTTGTACTTATTCTAGAAAAAAGTGGCAGATATAAGATTTTTTCTTCTCTCTGCTGCCTTTCATTTCATTTTATTTGTGATTTTGATATATATATAATTTTTCTTTTTATATGTTCCTTTTGATTGTATATTGTATATAAAATGATTTATTTTATCAATGAAATGAATAAAGAATTGAAACAGAAATTGAAACTCAATTTTTAAACTAAAAAGCTGGTGTATGATGGCTCTTATTCCACCAGACTCTTACTAAAAAGACCAGATTTATATAAACAACTATACGCATTCACACTCATCCTTATGGTCAGTCTTGGACAGCGAAAAAAAATAGGAAAATAACCACAACAATTACACAAAAAGGTCTTTGAACCATCTGCCCTAGGTTTACAAATATTTTTGACCAAAATGCTGAAAGTCTTTGWGTTTGAGAAGCTGAAACTATTGTTTTTGATTCTTTTTAACCAACAATTTAAATTTTTTTTAGAATATACCAAGTTAATAAAATGACCCAAAACTAACCATGACTGGTACGAGTCCATATTTGGCTGCTGCCAGCTTAATCTCAAAAACACACATTGAAACAGTGTGTGAGTAAACAGCTATACACAACTTTGAAACAACCTGTTTGAGCTTCAGGGTTCACACAGTAGTGACTTCTTGACCCAGCTGCCATGCAGTGGATAAAGTCCTGAAAACTATGTCTGTGGTGGGAAAGTTTTCATGCCAGGCATACCTGTCTTCCACACATCAACGCCTCTGTCATAAAGACGCAAAACAATATTCGATTTCATGGCGTTCTTTGTGTCGACAGTCTGACCTTTACAACTTTTTTTTGCTCAGATATCAAGAAGCCACTGTTARTTTTCCATGAAAGACATATTTGTGCAGGTGGTGCTTCGCTACACAGGCACCGCTTTGCCCCAGATACCCCAAATTTCCYCTTTCATCATTCACTATACGCCTAATTTTCTCTTGTCTTTTGAGGTTTAACTAAATCCCACAGGAAAAAAAAAAGACAACCACACCTTTCTGCACCACCTACACTAATGAGCTTAATTATCTTCAATTTGCATTAAGACTTCTCTATTAAAACCTTTCTCACATCATTTTTAAAGGAGAACTCATCTTTAAACTTTTAATATTCATTATAATAATTCCTCCTTTTACCACTACTAGACACAACTGAAGTAATGTAATCATTTCATGAAAGCGAAAAAGGCTTTTTTTATTTTTTTTACTTTAAAGTGTTGCAAAACTAGAGAGAAACACTGATCTCTTTGTCCCTTCAGTGATGCTACGGAGATTTTTGCTGAAGGAGACAAAAACAGGGACCCGGTTGTACAGATCATCCAGCCCCTTAAAGGTTACAAAGTCAGACGCTGCTACTCCTTCCTGTTCAGTCGCAACATGTGTGCAACTATTATAGCGACCTTTTTAAAGAAGAAACATTTAAATGTTTTTCTGGTTGCTTAATCTAGCTGGTAAAATTGTCTGCATTTACTAATGGATATAACAACTGAATGACTCGTTGCCAGTTATATTATGTGATGAAAGGCTGCTCTGTCTGTTGGCATTCTCTCACATCTGGAAGTGTTTGAATGGGAGACRCTCAGAAGTGAAGGTAAGCTGAGGAACAACCGTTGGTTTGCACCGCATCTGAAGCTCGAGCTCTTTCCGTTGACTGAGGGTTTTCTCAAAACACAACAAACTTTTCAAAGTGTCTACAAGAGCCACAAATACAGACACTTCTCTGAGGAAGAGAGGGTCTAGAAAGGTTGGAATAAACCTGTTTTTTGTTCAAATTCTTTGCTGGGGGAAAAAAAACTTGTACATTCACATTCCAGTTGGTGAGCTGTTTATGTTAAAGTGAGTTTTTCTACAATTTCCTGTTTCAAAGGGGCCTTAGGCWCAATGAGTAGTGTTGTGTTCATTCTAATGTGCTTAAAAACAAACAAACAAGATGTCCAGAATGGGCCTCCGCCTACCTCGAAAGATCCTCGATCGCTTTTTGGATCTGGGCTGGATCTTTGAAAACCTCCCAGTGAAGTCACTGGGGTTGAACATGTCCACTGGCAGAGAGGCGATGCGCCGCATGACTATCTCATCCTGGCCTTGCCTCTGGTTCTGGACTTCCTGGTTTACGCTCTTAGACCGGCCATTACAGTGATTGGATGGCACACCTTCAGCCTGGAGGCTGGCAGAGCTCCTTACATCCTCYGCAGACATATCTCTGTTATTGACTCCACAAGCCGCAGGAGTTTAACCCACTTCCAGAAGTCGATATTCCAAAGGAAGCCCTCTTCAGAGCTTGTAAACAGAGCCTACATGGTTCAGCGGAAGGTTCAGCAGGAGGGAAACGACACAAAAGTTTGTAAAAAAAAAAAGGCAAAGGGGAAAAAAAGGTGTTTCAGGCAGTAAAATCTGTCTTCACAGCCTTTTTTTCCTTTTTGTCCACATCTTGGTATCCGGTTTCCTCTCTGTCGTTCTTCTCTTTATGTTGAGTTCATTCAATCCAGAGACGGTGAGCTCATTGCCTTGTTGTTAAAAAGATCTCCAGAGAATTCARGTTCTTCTCTAAGCAGTCGCGTTCCCCCGCTCCTGTGTTTGAGATTTTTTTTAAAAGGTCTGTCAAGTGTCTTCTTTCAGTTCAGAGGCAGTTTRATTCTTTCAAGATGTTTGACTCTCGTCACACGCCTCAGCTTCTGCTCTAAATTGCTCTTTGGTTGTTTCCCTCTCGTCTTTGTCAGTCTTCTGAGGCACAGCTGTGTTTCCTCGCTCTCAGGTGGTGAGCAAGGGRGGGATCCAGTTCCAGGAATGCTGCTTGATTGGGTGGTTTGGGAAATTTGGGTGGGTCTTCTACTCCCTGTCCTAGTCATGGACCTTGTAGTAAATGTTGCTTTTCTTTTGCCTCCTTTCCCTTACTATACTCTACTGGGTAAAGAGAAAATTTGTTCTGTTTCTACTGTGTCCTTTCTTTCACTCTAGCTTCACTTCAGAAGCGAAGCCGGATAGATAAGAATGCATGTGCTTAATTCATGCAGCCAGAACATGGTGAATGTGGGTGTGAGTAGAAGCCTAAGATCTTGTCCTCACTGGTTTAGGCTGTTCAGCCAGTTACAGTAACCTCAACATGTTAATGGTGTTGGATTACTGAGGGAAGACACACCCATCCACAGTGGGGCAAACAGAGCCAACACAAACAGGAAGAGTTCTCGAAGCAGTCACAACATTTTTCTCTCTGCTTTCAGTTTTCATTAGTTGATGCGCGTTGGAGATAAATGTGAAACAGTACGGCCAGTGTGATCCCTGTCCAGCTAAACAAATACAAATTTGAATACTCATCTGATCAGCTGGTTTTCACAAACCTGAAAACATCTGCATGTAGGGATAGCAACAATATGACACTGTAATCCTAAACCTTTTTTTGTTTTTTTTTAAAGACTAAGAATAAACCCAAACTTCTACAAATGCAAATGTATCTTATGGACTTGGTACAGGAAGTGAAATGCTCTCTTTTGGTCTGTTATGGTAATTACATATGGTCATGTCATGCTGTAATCAGGCAATTTTTAACTCCTCCCTCTTCGAAACAAACTTTGATTCAAGACAAACAATAAAGTGGTGGCGTTTTTATATCTGTCCAGTCACTGGAATTGTTTTTGACATTCCATGGGTTCTCTTCAAATCACATTATGTGTTTAACTCCTGTTTGCTGTGGGGTAGTTAGCATCTCTCAGGAGATATCTACCCTGAGGGGACTTCCTGCTGTTTGTGTTACTATTGTCATGGCATCAGTTCCACAGGGTGCCTCACCCAGGAGCTCATGTGTGGGTGCAAAACAACAAAACCCTTACATTTTCTGTCAGTAGATTGCAACAAAACTTTAATCATTTTAACTACTGACCTGAAAAATGATGTACTAGGTTGTGGTTTTCTTTATGTGTAGTCATGCATCTTTTAGACTTGGATTTTGAACTTTGGTTATGAGCAGATTGTGGTCCTGATCCAGATATTAGACTGAAAGCTGAATCCTACTTCTCCTCTTCCTCTGCATCTTTTTGTGATGTAGGAGTGGGCTTTCTATCCCATAAATCAGAGCTTTTTTTATATACTGTAAATAATGTATACTGAAGTTTTTAGTTTCTAGTATCTACTTCCATTGCATATACAGCACTGACATATTGATGTATTTTAAAAGAATCTTGTGGTAACTGATGTCAGACTGAAAGGTGTCCCATTTTACAGTTAGCCTGCTGCGATAAGCAATAAATCAGTTCCGAGTGATAAATTATCTTTGAATGTCTTCCTTCAACTCATTGAACGTACTGAATTATTATTTTTATTGCTTATACATCGATCTTGGTGAAAAATTAATGCAAGACTGGATGGAAATAAATCTTGACATTGCAGAAGCTTATCGAAGCTTAGGCCAGGCCGTGTATTTGGCTCGTTTTTTAAATCTGAATTTAACRTCATAATATCAAATAGTTTGCTTCATCAAATAATTCTATGGACTGTCTATTTCAAGAAGAGTACAGCTTATCACTTTTATGTATCGTCACAAATATCAAAGAACGAATAGTTTGTAGTGATTTAAGTCATTTGTTACGTTTGTTTATCATTGGTCAGACACTTCATATAATTTTCTGTTTGTAATTCTTGAAACTGCCTGAAGAAGGTCTAATGACGAAAACGTTTTGAAAATTTTCTGAAATTTTAGACAGGGAGTGTCTTTATTCTTCTTTGGATGTAATCGTCCTCTGTGAAACCTTTACAACTTGAACTTCCTTAACACCATCTGGTGATCGTCTTTTTGTCATGCAGAATCAGATAATGGACTCTCGCCCACTCACTACTATGCCTGTAACACGCCTAACATATTAAATTCAACTAGTTGTTTTGTAGGTAAACCCAACTTTAGCCCTGACCTGAAATGACTGACTGAACATTTAAAGCATACAGCAGGAGGACAGTAGATGCTACTATCCAATGAGATGTTCAGGAAAAAAAGTTTAAAAACTTAGCGTGACCTGTTTTATGCTAGCATCGTTTACAATACTCTCTTAATATTTTAACAGGCTTGAATAAATTTGTGACAAAGTCTTCCTTGTGTTTATATTTCCACTTTTCTTTACTTTAGTGTAAATTCACTCAGGTAAGAGAAATAAAAACATTATCATGTCAAATAAACAAAAAAAGTAACAGGAGCTAATATCTACTTTTAACATCAAAAATGCAGAAAACTTTATTTTAGAAGTGAGATATATAGATGTTGTTTTATCAAACAACTGTCAAGGAAGTACTTAATGGTAAAAGCAAAAAGAAAATGGCACAATGCCAATGACAGTTAGAGCAGAGCACCTTCCTTCCTTTATTAAAGTATAATAACAATACCACAAGGTATTAAGACTCACTCTCACACATCGCTTTTGTAAAAACAAAACAACCAATTACCTAATCCTCACTGGGAGTATCTAGGAAGGATGATTCTAGAGTTAAGACGGTAGTTTGGACAATAAAAATAATTCTTTTTGGTCTGTAYGTAATATTCAGATTATTCTGGTTGGTCCTGTTTTAAACGCAGATAATGGAGAAAAATATGGACTTCTCTCTGGTTTTCTGACAAGCTCTTCTGGTTTGTTGTCCTCTTGTTTGTTTGCTTGACTTGATTGGTTGGTTGGTTGTGTTTAGACGTGCAGGTCACACGTTGTCTCCAATTCACACACACAAATGTTAACCTATCTATTCCTTTGTCTGAGCCAGTTTTCACTCTGTGATGTAACATAGTCTCTCCTTCTTGATGTTTGAAGRAATAAAAACTTTGAAGCTGAAACAGATAGTTTAGATCTCTCTGAGTGCGGTAAGAACTAAAGTTTGTTTTTCAAAATTAGTTTTTGTAAAGAGCAAAGATAATCGATCAAACTTTTTCCAGAGAACTACCACTTCAAGATATCAGAAATATCAGCTTCCATTTCAGAAAATACAGATGAGAAYAGGTTTTTGACTGGCACAATGAAAAAAAAATCGAAATCTGTTTGATCAACCTGGGGTTGAATTTCCTCGTGTCTACATCCTGATAGGTGCTTAATTTTAATAAAATTAGCAGCATTTGATACATGACTATAATCCAATAATTATCAGTAGTATTGTTTCAATCGGTACCAACACATCTATCCATGTCTGCAGTGCTTTCTGTCAAATATGCAACAAATACATAATTTAGTGTAATTATCTTTTTTTTTACTTTAACCCTATGAGAGAAAAATAGATAAGCATAAATAAGCCAAAGCATACATAAATTATGAGCCATTATCTTTTATCCACTGTGCAAATTAACTTTGGTTGACTGGACAACTTAAAACACCCAAACAGACAAAGACACAAAACCCACAGGGTGACAGCCTGTTTTTATCCTGAAATACAACAATATCCCAACAATGGTTACAACATCCCTCCATAAAATTTATGCCTCTTGGTTTTTTGAGTAATGTTTCCTTTAATTCCACCGATGTCTGGTGGTTTGGTCTTATGTTAACAACCGAGCAAACGGCAATGTGACCCGGCAAGAGGAGATATGGAGCCTGAGCTAAAACAGAGGGACAAAGCGGTGCCATCCAGTCTAACTTCCAGTTTAAAATATAAATCTATTTCCTCTCCCTCAAAGATATGGTCTCAGCCAAAGAAAGCAACAAGGAATGTGCCACGATCACTTATTGATGCTTCTTTATTATCTTCAAAAATGTGCATTTCTTCATTTCCTTGTTTCTCAGTTCCTGTCTTTTTACTTCACAGATTTGTTTGTGGATCAGAAAACCCAAACCCCAGAATTTTTTAACAGCAAGAGTTGTTAACAGGATTAAAAATACAAGCGCCAGCTATTTCTTATCTTTAATACACCTCTAGGTGAACCACTTTTTCTATATATCGTCAACATTTTTCGTTCCTCTGTCTCTCAAATTGGTCACGTTAACTGTTGCCCAGACCGGCCCTGGATTCTGAGCAACCCGGTCGAACAGGAGAGCTCAGGGGATAAACACGTTTACTTTAGGCTTAAACACTGAAGCAAGACTCCAGCTCGAGAGTTCACTGGGATAAAAGACTAAATTAATGACAGCTGTGTGTCTACTGAGTTTTTCTAAAAACAATTCAGGTTGGTTTTTCCTAGAACACATGATCACTTGAGCAAATGTCCAACACTAACACAATGAATATTTGTTGGCTTTGGGAGTAAAATCCCATGCCAAGAACAAATAACCTTCTGTTCACGAGTCTTTAATCAGATAATAACACTGATAACAAAGTGACAAAATAATATTTACTGTTGAAATGTAGAAGAAAATAAAACAAATGAACCACAAAACTGTGATAAAGCACTGCTGATGYTGAGCTTGGGCCTATATACAAATATTACTGTGATCTTATGTTCAATGAGTTAGACAGGTTACTTATTGGGTAAAAACGACCAAATGTTAATAACTACAAATAGTATTGATAATTACAACAGACTACTGTCATTCAATGCTTTTCCCCTCATTAACAAACATATTACTGGCTCTCCAATGGTGCCCCCTTGAGCCCATTAAAGGCATGAAATTTGTGCTCTTTTTATAAATTAGATTTTTTACTTGTTTGTTTAGTTGTTTATTTGTTCCTTTGTAATAAAAAGCACCCAAGTTTCAAAAGTGAGCAAGTCAAACGAGAGCCTTTTAAAGTGAATTGTTCAA